CACGACGAGCTCCTTGCTGAAGATGGCGCCTACGCCCGTCTTGTCAAGGCTCAAGATCTTGGGCAAACAGAGGGCGACGAGCAGCTAGATGAAGATCATACTGCGGAAAAGGTGGATCTAGTCCGAACACAAACTCGAGCATCGGCTATTGGTCAAGAAGCGGAGAAGCCAGAAAAAGACAACATCAACTACAACCTGCTGAAGTGTACTTTCATAGTCCTCAAGGAGCAAGGTGATCTCTGGAAGTGTTTCCTTATCTTGGCTGTTGCAACCCTAGTCGGAGGTATGTTACCACATCGCTTAGACCTTCCTGTTACTAAAGTGCGACAGGAGCAACGTATCCTGCCCAGGCTATCCTCTTTTCTCGCGTTGTCGAAGCCTTTCAATTGTCTTCAAACGAAGCAGTAGATCAAGGTGACTTCTACTCCTTGATGTTCTTTATCGTGGCACTTGGCAACTTCGCCGTCTACAGTGTTGTTGGCTGGACCAGCAACATCGTAGCGCAGGTTGTCGCGAGAAAGTTTAGACGCGAAATTTTTGACCTCGTCCTCAAGCAGGATATGGCGTTCTTCGATGACCAGGATAACGCGAGCGGTGCTTTAGCATCAAAGCTCGGGGCCTATCCTGATAGCTTGCGAGATTTGATGGGCTTCAACTTGATGCTTATTTGTATCAATGTCGTCAACATCGTTTCCAGCTCGATCCTTGCCATTGTAGTTGGTTGGAAGCTAGGTCTCGTTGTGGTATTTGGAGCCTTGCCCTTGATCGTGTTCTCCGGGTACCTCAGGATCCGACTTGAATTCAAGCTAGAGGATCTCACCGGCAAACGTTTCGCTAGCAGTGCTGCTCTCGCTGCTGAAGCAGTCTCCGCCATTCGCACAGTTTCTAGTCTCGCGCTCGAAAGGCAGATCCTCGCACGCTACGAAGATCGATTACGCGGCGTTGCAAGAGACGGCATCAAAGCTCTAGTGTGGACCATGTTCTGGTATGCACTCACACAATCCATCTCGTTCCTGGCAATGGCTCTTGGTTTTTGGTACGGCGGTCAACTGATCAGCACGGGAGAGTACACGACTACCCAGTTCTTCACAGTCTTCATCGGTGTCATTTTCTCGGGAGAGGCTGCTGCTGCCTTTTTCTCGTACACCACGAGTCTGACCAAGTCGACGACTGCTGCAAATTACATCTTTTGGCTGCGCAGATTGAAGCCTGCTGTACAGGAAGACGCGTCGAAACCACCGTTCGACGACGAGAAGGACAAGGGTCCAGCACACGTCGAGATGCAGGGCATTGACTTTGCCTACAAGTCTCGGCCACACGCCAAGGTCCTCGGGGGTATAGATATTGATGTACAACCAGGTCAATTTATTGCCCTTGTCGGCGCTTCGGGCTGTGGAAAGTCGACGATGGTCTCGCTTCTCGAGAGATTCTACGATCCCGTTACAGGACTCATCACCTGCGATGGCGTTCCGTTGATGGGTCTTTGTCCGCGCAAGTACCGCCGAGGTGTCTCTTTAGTTCAGCAAGAGCCGGTTTTGTACCAGGGATCAGTCCGGGATAACATCGCCATGGGTGTCGAAGGCGATGTGACTGACACTCAGGTTGAAGCCGCAGCCAAACAGTCCAACATTTCAGACTTCGTTGCGTCTTTGCCAAACGGTTTTGCAACGATGTGTGGCAGTAGAGGCACACAACTATCTGGCGGGCAGCGTCAGCGTATCGCTATCGCTAGAGCGCTGGTCCGCGAGCCGCGTCTGCTTCTTCTCGACGAAGCCACTTCCGCGCTTGATACCGAGTCCGAGAGGGTCGTCCAGGCGGCGCTGGAAGAAGCGCAAAGTGGCCGAACAACGATAGCGGTAGCGCATCGTCTCAGCACAATCAAGGACGCAGATATGATCATCGTCTTTGCGAAGGGAAAGATTGTGGAAAGCGGCACACACCAGGACTTGCTAGCTAAAAAGGGTGTATACTACGAGATGTGCTTAGGCCAGAGTATGGACCGGGCGATACCCATATGACAGTCGAGCAGACAGGACTGAGTGCTTTCTTTTCGTCTGAACTGAACCCAAAATTAGAACCGTTCATAGACTGTGCGATATGCAATATCACCCGCTCGGCTTCGTTACTCAAGTTTCGTGATTGCCAATGACTAGTGAAGGCCTGAGCGGGATTTTCTGCTGTGGACATCTGACGCCATACCTAAGTCAGGTTATGACATAATATCGGTTTTGACTCCAGCGCCGGAGGGCAAGAGAGCACGCGACAGTAGATGATTCGCGATGCTGCCTGAGGAGACGGACGTTGTTGATGCGGAAGGCCGGTGACCCGCGACTGCGTCATGCTAATACCTCGCTTATCGACCGGGGTTTGCTCCACTTTTGGCTTCCTTCTTCTCTGTAATCTGACCCTTCAACTGTTCATCGCGACAGTCGATTTCCATACCTACCGTCGAGATGCTAAACGCGACGGTTCCTGCCCTTTTCTGCCAAACAATCTAGACTGGCCCTGCCGCCGGACTGAACTCCGCTGTACGCGTCTTCAGATAGTTCCGGCGCCGGCTGGACCTACGCGGCGCGTCATGGCTTTAATCTTTAGAGCCACCGCCTTAACCCGCAAATTACACAAAAAGGCTGGTGTGTGGCTCTAACAACCCATATGCCGCTGCCGCGCATGTGGAGGTGCTGAAGCACAACGCGATCCATCATCGTCAGGTCAAACTGCCAAGACGTCTCACAAAATCGCCGCAACCAACCACGAACTCGAACAAGCAATACTCCTGGCACGAGCGCGTCTTAGCATCGCTCAAGTCAACAGTTTCATGCCTTCTCTTGACGATCGCACACTGTGTGCTGTGGCTGTTGGTGAGCCTTAGTTTCAAGGACACACTCGACAGCCCAATAGCAGATGAGCCGTTTCACTGGCATACTCCGCACAGCGCTGGGGATCAAGGCAGCTCCGAGCTGACCCACTGATTCGCGCTTTGGAGACGTTATGCGACTGAGACTAGTGACCCTGACGGCAAACTCCCAAGCCGTCATCCCACATTGATAGCATTGGCGTCTCCATCTTCCGTTGCTTCACTTTCTTTTCCACTTCTTGATTGATGTGGATTGTCGTTCCTTCAGGAAATCAGGCTCTATTTTCGTTCCTCCGTCGACCGGATACATTCATTTCGGTTCTTAGTCCTGGGGACATTTTTTTTTTACTCTCTTGTAGTTTGTTGATGTTACTTGCGCGAGCGCATTTCAGTTTATTTACTACCTAATACCTTTTGTTACATCAATCATGGCACGCTATCAACTCCGAAGGCCGTCCCCGGTCAAGGTCTTCCCAAAGCGCATTCGTCAGGTCGATCCTGTTGCAAGTAGGATGCCTGCTGCCGAAGCTGAAGAGGAAGAAGGCCCAGAGAGCCCAGATTCACCGTTCAGCAGCCCATCAACAGTCGGTGACATATCCGAGAGCGAGGATTCGGAATCCGAAGACGAGGCCGAGCCACCATCACCAGTTGAAAGCGGTGCCACAGCTGCATCTACTGCAACTCTGGATGCCACTTCAACCCTGAGTGTTACTTCAACTGTGGGTGCTACTTCAGCTGCGGGTGCTACTTCAACTGCGGGTGCTACTTCAACTGCCGCTATATCAATGCCAACCTCTTTATCGGAAAACAAAAGTTCGGCTACGGCTGTGCCTTCCTTCACCTTTGGCAGACCATCTTCAGGAAAGGATGCACCACAACCCCAGATTACCGGGTCCACACTTTCAACTGCTGTTCGTCCTACCATAACATCAACCATCATCAAGGAAGTCAGACCAACAGACCCTCCGGAGCTGTCTTCGGCAATGGCTTCAGTATCTCTAGCTCCGCCACCTGTGAACACAGCTGAGCCAGAACTTTCCGGCGAGAGTAGTGTCCCCCAAAGGCTTCCACAACGAGAACAAGAGCCTATCATGACAAAAGACGCCATGATTGCAGCAATAGTGTTGGGTGTACTTGGTTCGTCACCACCATTCTAGTTGCTACTATTCCATTGCTAATAACTGAGTAGGTGCATTAGCGCTGCTTGTCGCTGCAGTAGTTTTCATCAAGCGCCGCAAACGTAAGCACAGTTATATCGATGCGGATCCATCATTCGAATCCTCCAATCCTTACGCACCCGCCTCCATCCCACCTCCAGAGACCGCACACGTAGGCACCGCATCTTCGATCTTCGCGCGTCTCAATGGCGGCGACGGTGCTGGCGGAAACGGTCATTTGACCCGATCCACCGACCGCAGCAATACACTATTCGGTCCAGGCCCATACTCCCGCCCCGAAACCGTTTCTACCGAGCGCTCAACCCGTGTACCACCAACGCCAAATCCGTTTGCTGATCCACCCCTCAACAAAGCGTACGATGTACTAAACAACCGACCTAGAAGTACGACGCTTACGGATCGCGGAAGTTGGCAGCAAAATCCCTTCAAGAATCCAGAGAGCGAGCGATTCGATCCTTTTGGAGAGTTGAAAGAGAAGGCTAGAAGGGAAAGGATACGGTATGTGGAGGATGCGAGACGAGAAGCCGAGTTGAGGAAGCAGATGGAGCAGAAAGAGGCGATGGGACTCCGGCCGGATGGTATACCGTGGGATGGCGGATATCGGTGATGATTGGGACGAGTATGTGTGCATTCAACATGTTCGAAGGCTCGACATGAGCAGGAGCTGTGTCTCCGTGACAATTCAGTCTCCAGCGACATACTTCACACGCGCGCACTCGGATACCCTTGTAAGTTTACCAATAATAATACAACACAATATCTATTATCTCGCATCGCCATGGTTCGTCGTACTAGCACTGGTAAGAGTGGAAGCCCACAACACGCCAATCGCTACACGTGAGAATCGCACTGAAGTGAGGTCACAAGTCTCGAGAGCATTATACAGACGTAAATAGGTGAACCAGAACCAAAAACACTAGGGATCTCCCCAAAGCATATGACCAAATATTCGTCAGTAACTATTGCTATTTGCTTGACCCAACTCTGTCATCAAACTTTGGATCTCTCGCATTCAAACCCTCATCATATTGAAGCTCCTCTTCGCGCTCGATGCCATCTTCGTCCACCATAAGTGCGCAATTTCTCTTGATCAGGTGCCATTCTTTCTCATCATATGTTGTGGGCTCAGACGCGATAATAGTATGTTTACCCATCATGCCTGCTTCCCCAATCTCTGTGCCCGCATCCGCGCTCCCACCATCCTTATTATCTGGGTTACCAGGGTACTTTGTATTCAGGGTGCGGCCCGCGAACTCTGACCAGTACAGACTCGGTGGCTGCTGTGAGATATGGTTCCGAAAACGGATAGCGAGCATCTTCGTACCATCGGTGGTACAGAGATTCAAGGAATTTGGTGTGTTAGCTTCACCGAGTAGGTTCTTTTGGAGTGTGAGAATTTGAATGACGGTCTTTTGCATGGCTTCATGCATTTTCTTCAGGGGATATGCTTTCTCCCAGCTTTCTTTACCACCACTGTTTGTAAGATTTGTGATGTAGAGAGCGGCAGCGTGCTCAGAATCTGTGCTACCAAGTACGTTGCAGTATGCGTCGAAGGAGAGGAGGGACGTCATTTCTCGGCGAATAGAGGAAAAGTTTGAGATGACACCATTGTGCATGAAGACGTGGCGACCGAAGACGAAGGGGTGGCTGTTTACTTGCGTTACGACGGAGCCGCTTGTGGCGCGGATGTGTGCGAAGACGCATTGTGATTCGGTGTTGTAGCAGAGAGACTTGAAGTTGAAGTCGTTGATCGGCGGCGATTGGGATTTATAGAGGGCGGGACGAGGACCTGTGACATTCTTAACGTAGGATGAGGTCGCTGTCGTGTACCCTGGGTGTGTTAGCAGATTTCCGGGACCTGAGTGTTCTTGTAGCGCTGTCTTTTCTGGGACTCCAGGCCTTGGGCTTTCTGGAGGTACCTCGCCTTGATTTTTGTGACTACCAAATACACGTGTATTATGATGTTGTACATCAAGAAAGCCATATGATGGTACAGGGATACGATATGACACGTACAAGCAATTCCGAGTCCGTCCATATTCAGTAAAGAGTTGCGCATCCGCATCAACTCATCGGGTGAGTCATCCAGGTCCTTCTCTTCATTATGGGGCAGTAGATGCGGCAGATAGTGCTCGGAGCATTGCTTGCTGATGCTGTTGTCTGGCGTGATGAGAACGTCTGACAGCAGACATGGTTCCGTAGGAGAAATGTATGCAAACCCTTGGTGTAGGTATACGAAGTCAGTGCATGTCTCACATGCGATTTGAACAGAGACACTTACAACGACACATGATGCTTGATGTCCTTTGCGTTCAAAGGACGTGTTAGCATTTGCGATTTTACGAAAATTGCAGGATCAAGAACGGACTTTTGTAATGGCACGGATCTAGAGCAATATTCTCTTCAGATACTCACCGTGTATTTCAATGCAAGATGGGTCGTACAACAGTCTTGACGATGCGACCTTTGTGACGTGGAGCCTTTTTGTAGGTGGGATATGTTACGAGGATGTCAGGACGCGCGTGAGGGCACGTATCACAGCTGGAGGACAGGAATTTGTAAAGATGAAGAAGTGAGGAGATGCCGGGCACAAGACGAGGGAGCGGGGATAACGACGATAAGGACGCGCGTGATTTTTGTACTCGTAAAGAATAAGACACGACTTGTTCCGGCTGCAAGAAGGACCTGGGTGGCTGAGCCCGTGAGGCTGAGACGGCTGACGGAAAGCGCCCGAGAGCTAAGTACAGGAGTTGCTAACACACAACGCTTGTATGCGGAAAGCACGATGTCGTGGCGCGGGGCAGGCAACAGGAGTGGGGCGCGTTGATACGAAACTCCTGTTAAGCACCAACGCAGGCTCTGGATGATGGCATTGCGAGGCAACTCGTCGTTCGAAACGTCTTCCACCAGCACTTTGTAAACAAGGAAAAAGAGTCAAGATCGTGGTTGGGGGCGTGGTCAAGATTACAAGATCTGTTTTAAACCCTGGCTCATACAGCCGATGACGACATGTTCCCTCAGCGGTAGGAACAAGAGAGGGCCAGTATAATCCCCAATAAATGCATGTCCAGAGTGATCGCAGGTGCCCGAGTGAGCGTAATGGTATGTATTGGCTGCATCGCAAGCTGTCCGCAGCGAACAGCGATCGCCGCGCGAATATGATCTCCCTTGCCCTGGATTCAGGGTCCGTCCAGAAGTGTCTCGGAACAGCGGAAGCAAGGGAGTGTGGGCCATGAACGGAGAACTCCACTATTCTGGAGCTGATAAGGAATGACTACGATTAAAGATTGCTAACGTGGAAGCGTGACTAGTTTCCATATTGCTTGTGTGCAAATAGCGACCAGCACGACGGTCGAGACCAGAATGCAGTGTTGCCGCGGAAAAGCTGTGAGCATTGCCATGGTGTTGTGCTAAAACGCTTGCGGGCGGCGATGGTGACCTAGATCTGAGCATTGTAGGGCTTAGCGAAGAGGGAATGTACACGCGGCAGCCATCATTGATTGATCCGCCACAACGTGCCTGAGATCGAGAACGAAGAACAATGTGATTCCGACAGTAACACCTTGCGAGTCGTGTCTGTGACAGCAACGCTCACGCTGCTAGATACGCCCCAAGAACAATCGTACGTATGGAAAAAGGTAATCGATTCCGTCTTGTGCGCTGTGCGACGCCTGGTAGACTCGATGAGTTGCACTTCTTTGCTCGGTGGCTGCTTGCAAATGTCTGCCATGTATCGTCGCTTCGTCCTTGGAAAATCGGCAGAGGGCAAGCAGGTGCGACGAACCGACGATGAGCCGGAGCCGGAATCGGAAGGAAGATTTCTATGCTGCTACCGTGACTCCCATTCTTCACCTCACCTCTTGCCCTCTGATAACGCATCCAAAAAGGCCCCCCTCCTACAACACGGCGAATAATTAGGGCTGCAATGTAGACACAATGAACGCGATTGCCGCTCAGCCCACAATCGGGCGATGCCGAGGACCCAGCGCTTTTAGGCAAAAAACAACCGGACGCTGAGGTGAGAGGCTGAGCGCTATTCCTTTCGAGTTGACCAGTATGAGCATTCCGCAGAATCGGCTCCTAGGATTCGCTACTACACCTGCTGCGGATCTTCCAAGCCACCCGTGGGCAACTGATATGCAGGCAGTTTTTTCGAATTGCAACTACAAGGCGACGCGAAGGGCTTTGAACGATTACTATCCATGCAGGAGCATATCTCAAGAGATGGCGATCAATTCTTTATCGTATCGAATTTCCGTGGCAGAAGGGAGAAGGACCGACCCATAGCACATACTGTTCGCACAGTACAACATGCCGGCTTCAGGGCGGTACTTCTCACGCGCGATGCCGTCATTTCATTTGTACAAGGCTTGGTCTCCCGCAATGCCAATCTCTCAACGCGCGCAAGGCACGAATCAAGCACCGTGGCGTTGTTCCTTGCTATCAGCCGAGCCCCGGTCCAGAGGCTTCGTTATGCGGCTCCCCTAGACACATGTAGCTGGCGGCATCAGACGACCTCTTTCTCACAAAAGATGCGAGGCTCTATCAGCCGCAAAGCGCCACGCCAGAAGCAATCGTACCAGACCCCGGATTCCCAAGAGCCTGGTGTGACAAATGGCTCGCTAGCTGGTGCTCGCGTCTGAGGCTGCGTTGCCTTCACACGCCTCTCATGCAGCCACTCGCCAGCACCGGAAGCCCGCCAACTTAGCAAAGCCCGCCGCGCTGGATTACGTTCCCTTAACTGTCTTGAAATGGCGGAGGACCTGGGCCCTGGTCGCCCGCCCCAGAACCTGACCCAGGCGCGCCTGCCCATGGGCAAACAAGACGTTTGCGCTGCTTCGCTGAGCCCGTCTTGTCACCCACCCCGGCTCAGTAGGGTGGCGCCGTCCACGCCGCTAACGAGGGATGGCGCATCCCCATTCGCGTGCCACAAAACGAGCGGGGTCGCTACAGCCGGGGTGGGTTGAAAACTCTGTGCCGTCGAATCCCATGCCCAGAATCGCGGTACATTTACTACGCCGCAATCAGTTAGTCTTCGCCGTCCGCCTAGTGTCCCACCAAACCGCTTTCGAGTCGTAGTCGCATCGCAGCGCTCACCACCGAGAGGATCCACAGGCAGGGCAGACTGGGTGTGCCGCGCCTGTCTCTCGTATAAGTACCCTGCCTTTCACCCCAAGGGTCCTGGTTTCGATAAGGGCAATCTCACTTCCTCTACCACGTTGTAGCCTTCCTTCTGTTCACTGGCATCCAGTGCAACTCATCTTGTTGTAGCTTTAGCTGCTCCCCCACGCGACTGATAGTCGATCCCCCCCCCCCCCCCCCAGCGTCGACTCCAGAGCGACAAATCCCAATACCTGAAGCGACTTTCCATACGCGACATTACTCCCTTGCGACAACTTACACTTTGCCTAAAGCGACAATCCCCATTGCAACCATGGCCGAGGACAAGAAATATTCTGGAGAGTTCGTCCGCGAGACTTATCCTGGTGACGATATCCAACATGGCCAAGTGACCGACAACTCCGACGACTTGCAGCGTCATCTTGGTAACCGTCAAATCCAACTCATTGCGATTGGTGGTTCTATTGGAACTGCTCTCTTTGTGTCCATTGGAGGTGCTCTCAACAAGGGTGGTCCCCTCGGTATACTCCTCGCATACACTGGATACTCTTGCATCATCGCTCTCGTGAACAACGCCATGGCTGAAATGGCCAGTTTCATGCCCGTGTCCGGAGGTTTCATTCGAATGGCCGGACACTGGGTCGATGAGTCCCTAGGCTTCATGGCCGGCTGGAACTTCTTCTTCTACGAAGCTCTGCTGATTCCTTTCGAAATCACAGCTCTCAACATTGTGCTGCGATACTGGAGAGATGACATACCAGTCGCTGCTGTCTGTGCGGCCGTCATCGTTCTATATGCGTAAGAACTACCGATTAGCCTTGAGGGCGATGTACTACATACATAGAGGACAGAAACTAATTATTTCTAGTGCTTGCAACATCTTGGCTGTAAAGGCATACGGTGAGGCAGAATTTTGGCTCTCTGGAGGCAAGGTCCTGCTGATCCTGATTCTCTACTGCTTCACCTTCGTCACCATGGTTGGAGGTAACCCTCAGAAGGATGCCTATGGCTTCCGACACTGGCGCGACCCTGGCCCAATGCCCGGCAGCAGCGATCTTGGACGTTTCGAAGGCTTCCTAGGTTCTCTTTGGGCTGCGTCCTTCTGTATCGTTGGTCCCGAGTACATCTCCATGGTCTCCGGTGAGGCTAAGCGTCCTCGCGCGTACATCAAGACCGCGTTCAAGACTGTGTACTTCCGATTTGGTGCCTTCTTCATCCTTGGTGCTCTTTGCGTCGGCATCGTTTTGGCATACAACGACCCAGAGCTTGTCAGCGTCTTGGCAGCTGGTGAGAGCAGTGCTGCTGCCTCTCCCTACGTCATTGCTATGAAGAATCTCAACATCGGCGGCCTTCCCCACCTTGTCAACGCCCTCTTGATCACGAGTATCTTCTCTGCGGGTAACACGTACACTTACTGCGCGACTCGCAGTCTGTACTCGCTTGCTATTGAGGGCCGTGCCCCCAAGATCCTGCGCAAGTGCACCAAGAACGGTGTTCCGATCTACTGCTTCTGTGTAGTCATGATCTTCCCGTTCTTGTCTTTCCTGCAATTGTCGGACGACTCCGCCAAAGTCCTGACCTGGCTCACCAACATCATCACTGCTGGTGGTGTCATTAACTACATCGTCATGTGCGGCACCTACCTTGCTTTCTACAAGGCTTGCAAAGTTCAAGGCCTCGACCGAAAGACGCTCCCTTACTGCGGTTACTTCCAGCCATATGGTACCTGGATTGCGCTCTGCTTCGAGATTTGCGTTGTCTTTGTGTATGGTTACAGCACCTTCAAGCCCGGCAACTTCACCCTTGAGTCTTTCTTCACATACTACACCATGGTTGGCGTTGCCCCGATCCTGTTCATCTTCTGGAAACTCTTTAAGAGGACCAAGTGGCTGAAGCCACATGAGGTTGACCTTGTCTGGGATGCTCCTCTCATCGATGCCTACGAGGCCTCCTTCATCACACCACCTGTCGGCTTCTGGACTGAGATGTTGCAACTTATCGGACTGAAGCGTAACGTCCCCGTGGACAAGCGTGCTGTTTGAATTGCTTTTAGCGAATCAGCGAAACCTGTATAGCAGAGATATTCTGTCATGATCTAACGCCATTGGATAGATTTTCTATCGCCAGAAGCCTATGAACACTGGCTGCGCTCTTACATAAATACTATACCCATTCATTCTGCGAACATCGAGATATGGCAGCTTGCGAATGATTCCCGACCTCCGCTATACCTATGCGACAAACAGCGAGGCCAAAAAAAGGATACCCAAGCGACAATGTACCATGGATTTTCGATTGTGATTAATATATTGCAGCATCCTTTCTAATGGCCTACGCGACACTACTGAGACGACAATTCCAATGCGACACAGTCTTAAGAGATTTCCAATGCGACAACGCTACCATGTTCGTAGCAACGCTGGTGATGCATCTGCCGTCACGCACCAGCTTGCCTAGTGTCGTATGGTTCAGCACACTGACGGCTTTTGACCTGCCAAGGCACGGCTGAGACCATCCCTCAACGACGATCGACATTTCGCATACGTACGTTTATTGGAACAAAACACCTGTAGACTGCGGTCCATCCGCCTGGCTTTTGGGAAGTCGCCCGAACCCTAACGTGGCATCAGAGAGCACTTATTAGGAGGCTCGGCAATGCATTCCGCGCGACTCACTGCCACTGTTGCGCTACTGCTACTTCCACCAGACACAGCCCACGACCATGTCTGCCTCGACTCGCCTCGCCCAGCCCCCTTGTGCGCCACTATCAAACAGTATCAATCCACCCACACTTGTATGCAGCCGCCTGCTTCCGGTGTTGGGCCAAGGTCTCCGGCTGTTTCTGGATGCCTCGAGCCTACAGGTCATCGTTGTTAGTAGGGCGCCATGCGAGATGTCTCACTTGCCTTATCATCAGGCTTCCGGTGCTGCTACACGAACCCCTGCCATAAGCTCGTCAGAGAGGCTGGAATTCTTGAGGCAGAGAGTCAACGATTCGCTCGCTTTGTGGCTTGTGTACGCATCTGCGACCGTGCCACCAACGCTATAATACCGCTGCACTTATCTCGGACCTTCTACCAAGGAAAGAGAGCGTTTCAGGCCATCTTCAGCTTCACAGGCGTCGGTGCGCAGTATATACGATCGCTCTCGACGTCCCGAAACGGCCAATTGATCCCGTCGCCAATATCCCGGTCCCGCTCGTGGCGCACTATAATCCCACGCCCACCACAGCTCCGCACGTTTGCATTGGAGCCTCTATCTACCGTCGGTAACGCACTATTCATGCTGCACTTTGTGGTTTTGGCTAGATGTCCGTACCTTGCAGGACCTTCTCCGCAATTGATAACGCATGTGCTCGTCGACCAGAATGATAAGACGGCCCCATCTTTCCCCGCATTGTCCACATCGTGAGCTGAACATATTGGTGTATTTTCGAGAAGATGGCTGAAGCCCAAGCTCCATCTAAGATTGCGGAACCGCCATACAATGCTTGGACACTCACGCTCCAGTATCTACACCGAAATTGAACTGGACAAATTAGCAGAAAAGGGTAATATACAGACTCAGCCTACTAATCATCATGTCCACCAGATTGAACAGTATGATCTTTCCCGTCGGAAAGCATCTCTACTGTAAAACCGCAGCACTGCCTACTCCTTACTCGGCAGATAAACACCTCAATATCGAATTGGCATGAGCGATGGTAGTTATCTTCGTGAGACGCACCATATGTGCTTAACCATGGTACAGTATACATTTTTGACACGGCGCTGTCCGAGCCAGACTGCCATTCTGTGGATGGGTACCACTAAGAAGTCACAATACGCTACCACAGGCTGCTTATGGTACACTTGCGGCTCGGAATGTTTCCATGGGTGATCTGATGTACGTCAACTATCTAGGCTCGCCAGTACTGTCATGCTATCCTCAAAGATGTGTTGACAGTAGCAGTGACAGCGGTAGTGTTGTTAGTAGGTGCAATGTCTCTAGCATAAAGAATCTGATCGTATTCTGGTAGAGAGGCTTTACACGATATCGCAATTAGGTGGCATCAGATGATTGTTGGTAAGTTAAGAAGATTTCTGGACTCGCTTTGTTCAAAGGGCAAGTACAGTTCAAACATATGTTTCTTCACGTTCAGGAAACAGATTTCACGAGGCTAGAAGTAGGCTGTTTCCGGCATTACTTTACCAACTTATCCAGAAGACAAGAGAGTCAAGGGACGTGACAATAGCTTCAGTGTTTGCACACCTAATACTATACATATTGGTAACGGCACTTGTATACATGAATATGTTTTGGCAAAACCTTCCACCTGTTCGACAACAAGTATAATGCAAGCCCCACGGTCTTGTCTCCACGAATGGACGTCACATAACTCCGTAACACCGACCCACATGTCCCGTTGCTATCTGACCATATCACATTCGCCTAGGTTTACCAGCACTGTCCACGCTCTCTCACCAAAGACGGCAGCTAGAGCGCATGCCTAGCCGGCCCTTCTCGCCATTTCTCCATGAAGAGACGGGCCGATTGCCCTTGTTCTCGAAACTGACCCCGTGCACCATTGCCAAGATGTTGGCTGGAGGCCCAACGAGCCATATTACTTGTCGCACAGCAGATTGGACGCCATGCATATAGAGGTCAAGTCTGAGGTAGGAGGGAATCAAAGGCTGGCGTCGAATACGTCATCGTGCGGAGAAGGCGGGACCCTGGACGGGATGGACGGGACCGGAGTTGAGCCGAAGAAATTCTGGGGTAAAGACCACCGCTTTAACACGTCGTCGCGTCGTCTCTTGCCTGTGTAGTGTCGATCGTTCTTCAATCGCCGGGTTGTCGTTCGGGTAGACCCTTCTTTCAATTCGTATGTGTCCTTTATATGGCCCGATTCTGGACTTCGTGCTTCTTTCTTCATCTTCACTACCCGCAACTTTGCCACTCCGAGTTCTTGCCTCGACATACGGGGTGCATCATCGAAACCCATACAACTGCCCTATAGCTTCTTGCATGTCGACTGTATTGAGTGTAATACGTGGTCTCGGATCCCTGATACGTGTGATGATTTGGAGGATGAAGTGCGAACCCAATATTAGGAGTAGACAAGGTATGACGATACGACTCAGTACACGACCCCATGAAATCCGTATCTCTTGCGACTTTCTCTCTTCAAATACTTCCCCTTCTGCAGGTGTAATGGTTGTATCCTCCATCGGTATCGATGCTGCTTCTAGAATCGTTCTGTAACTCAATCGACCAAGCCATACATGCCAGCCTAGCAGCATGACGGCGGCTAGAGCGATGCTCGTCCACGAGGCTACCGCGTATGGTGATCGTGCTCTTCGACCCAATAGCTCGTAGATCTCATCCAAGCCTTGGACAACGTGATGCATCGTAAATGGAACAAAGAGCATGACTACCGCCAGCGCGACGACTTCTAGGCACCGCATACTGAAGCGCTTGAGGAATGTTGATTCGGCCTTGTGGACATGCCAGTGTGAGAGTAGACTTAGGAAGTCATCCGTGCGCGGGTGGGTTGTTGACATTGTTAGCAGCATGGCGGTCGGTTTGGTGGTATAGCTAAAGTTTGGCAGGCGTAGTGATGATGCTCGAGGAAGAATAATGGTAAGGAGGCGGTAAAAATGTCGACGCGGCGATACCAATTCCTAGCGACAAGAGGCTCTCTTATACGAAATTCAATGAAGTAGGTCGATATTGTCTCCCGAAATCCACGTTGTTGGTTTTGTTATTGATGTTGTTGCTGTCCTTGGTGAGGGCCACCCTTCCTTCGGTTGCCGATGTGTTGACGAAGCGCAGTGACGCAATCGAAGCAACACGTCTCTCTTCCTTCTCTTCTTGTCCGCGAGTTCAACTTGATGGCTGTTCCGATACGAAACTCAAATGTCTGCGCCTCCTCTCGTCGTGTCTTACGCACTAAGACGACGTCTTCTCCGAGCCCCCTAGCTCCGCGATCTGCGTACCCGAGCACACCAAACTTCACAGGAATGCGCAATCCGTCTTTTGCCTTATCGCTAGCTTTCCTGGAAGTCCTGCAGTTGCCAGTAAAATCGTTTTGTCGAGATTGTACGTTTGGAAAAATCGTTGGCAGTTCTACCTCGGCTCCTCGCGTCCGTATCCTCGTAAACCCGGCGTACGAAGAACCCTGCCAAGCCCCTCTTCGCACAGGCTTTACCGCTCTTCCAGTACCGGTACCACGATTCGTAGGCCGAGCTGAGTGCAACAACGATACTCGTATCCAGACGTGCTCGTACAACAACGACTGTTCCGCCTTGAGGTGTCGTGTTACAAGAAGGTGAGAAAAAGGTAGGATGGTGATGATGATGCTTACAACGACGTAGTCTGGGTCTTACGAAGTCTGCGCCCTGATCCGCACTGCGCCGCAGCAAGTAGGATTGCACTGGGTGCCTGAAGAGAGGGGCGCAGTAAGCATTAAGGGTTGCCCCGCATCTGCAGCCTTGCGACGCTAGCTTTTGACCTGAAATTGTGATTGGTGCCCGGGCAGAAAGCGTGCCTGTGGCTGGTTAGGAACTCAGATGTGGAGATTGGATTTACGATGGGAGAGGAAGGTGAGTACCTAATGAGATGAATTAGTGCACGTGATGTGATAGTTTTTAGAGGTAACGAGGCTGGGAAAGCTTCGTGACACTAGGAAGAGATGGAACGAAATGATTGGGGAAGAGTTACGAGCTTTACGACCGAAAGCCTCGATCGCATGGAAATGGTGAATCTCAAGGTGGTCACCTGTCTACGCTTTCTATTCAAAAACAATCGTGAAGCCGTCCAGGCTGCATTGGCCCAGGCATCTAGGCACTGGAGCCGAATGTTGAAAGAACAAAACAAAACACCGACAGAATGCGCGCTAAAACTTCAAACCATCCGCCCAAAATGCGCAACGTATGCTTTGTCTACAAGCGATCAAATAGAATTTCCATGATCCCCAAAACTGACCGTCCTTGCGCGTGTCGGTTCTTGCAATCCTGCATCACCATACCCTTTACCCTCATAGTCATGTTCATTCATGACACCCAAGCTCTTCCAACTGGCCTTCTCCTTCAAATTGTTCTTGCTTGGTTTTCTGCTCAAATTACCGTTCTTGTCGGCATCGCTGTAGAGGCTTGGAGTGCTAGCTCGATGGACCGCAATGCCGATGCCGAGTCCTTGACCGTCAGGCAAAGCACTGGTAGGCGTGTTCTCGTACGAAAAGTCTCCCATGTTAGCTCTGCCTTTGCCTTGTCCATTGTAGTTCCCTTCGTCTCGAAGAGTAACATCACTCCCAAAAGCTGGACCAGGACTATGACTCGGCACCCTAGTCTTGCCATTTGATGGGCCTGCAGCGAAGTCGCGTGGCTGGGGCGGCGAGTCTGAGTATGGCGTATATGCGGTGTGGACTCTGTTCAAAGAAGGCGCTGGTGTATGGCCTCTGCTACGAGGTGCGCTCTTGGGCATGCCACCGGGGCTTGGTGCGCGGCTAGGATACTTTGATATGAGGCCACCAGTTTCGTTATCGCTGTCGCCGGCCAGAGATCTGTTACCCCACGAGACATCACGGTGATGTGAGTGGCGTGGATGGCGGCTCGTGTAGTGTGTGACAACTAAGAGGATATTATCAAGGAACAGTACTAGGAAGGAGATTAGCATACAACCCTTCCTCATTGACAGCGAATGGAGCTACTTACCACCAGCGAAGAACAGCACCACTATTGGGATTATCCAATGGCTCCCTTTGAACTTGAAACCGTTGGTTGTCTTGTCGGCAATGACAGTAGACACTCCCAGAATGATGAGCGTGAAGCCAACGACGACTCTGTTGATGATCTCGCCGAATTCGTATTTCGTCTTGTGTATCTTGTTGAACCAATACATGATGGCCAATACCAGCAATACACAGCCAGCACCAATGAAGAACTGCATTGTAGTGGTGTTGAAAACATCAGATACCGCGTCCAGCTTGACTCGTGGACTCGTCGTAGTTGATGTCACAGCGTTGAGTTTTGCTAGAGAATCGGCATGTGCCTCATACACAAAGACTTGCGCCCTGTCGAACATGTAACGAACGACGTCGCCGGTGCGGTTGTTCCACTCGTCCGATTTGAATCCATACGTTGCAGTGTAGTTCTCGATAGCAGTGAAGTTGGTGTTCCAGTTGTATGTTGTGTTCCAGTATTTGCTCTTGAATCTACCGTTGACTGCAATCATGCTCTGATTGAGGTAGTCAATATAGCTAGCGGTGTTAGAGTAGCCATCCGCCGGTTTGGAATAATCGTTTGGCTTTAAGGACCATATCCATCTGAGAGCTTGGACGGCAGAGTTCCATACGATCAGCGACGTGTTGCCTTCGACACATAAGAGAATTGCTGAGTGCAACGGATAATGTAAGAGAGCCCACACTTGTTGTCGTAGAGTTCCGAAGCGATCGTGAGAAAGCTGGTCGAAATACAGCATCCACAAAAGGTACTATGAGCTTGATTAGCAGCGTTCCCCGAATGACTCATATGTGGCAACATACCAAGAGAAGCACAGCTGCAATGACGGTTCCGATCTCACTCATGTTATTGCTCGTCTGACCTTTCGTAATGCATGCTACGCTCTTCACCATCCCGATGATTCCTTCTCCGATGATGATGAGGGTAAGCAGTTGTAACCGCTCCGTTAGATGGGTATACTTGAAACTGATGATCCGCCATATCATAGCGATGAGAAAGATTAGAAGACCTTCAACAATGGATATGATCACCCTGCGTACTTTGTTAGTCTGAGCAGCCGAATTGAAAGAAGTCTACTTGCCATGCGAGTTGCTCTTCAAGACCAACACGACCCCTAGGAAAGACAACCATAGTGATGGCATAGCCTATTGCTGCCGCGGCATGCACGCCAGCGCTCAGACCTAAAGGAATCAACGTCTGACGGAACATGCGACCCTGCCACATAACCACAGCGTATTGTACAGCGATCGCAATTCTACCGATGACGAGTACAATGGCAAAGTTCCGGTATGACTTCTCAACGCCACTGGTGCTGTACTTGTCGAAGACCGGACCGGCATACACAAAGCCAGTGAAGATGCCGAACTGTATGGCTTTGTGAAACCGATTCCACACACAGTCGATACTGAACCGCACGTCGAATAGTGTGACGCTCAGCCAAGTAAACCACATCAGAGTGAAAAGTTTGAGGTAGTTAATGAGTGCTGATAGAGTGTTAGTTACTGCATCAAGGTTTGGACAAACATGCGTACACTCTGCATCAGTGTGTTGATGCATAGCCGTGAAGTATGCAAGGTTGGCAACGAAAAAGAGGTCGTAGAAAAGCTCTATCGTGCTAGCCTCTGTATGTTGCTTGTAAATGATGATGTTTCCGCGGCTTGTCCTGCCGTTTCCGGCAAGTGTGGTCGTATCATTCGAACTGTCGAACGTGCTGGTGTGAGTATTGGTCTTTTCTAGGTCTGTGGAATTGTTCGTCACTACTTCGAGGACATCCTCGTTGATGGGATTTGCGAGGAGGGGCAGGTAAGTCCGCCTGTTCCTGTGTCCTGTATGCGCACTGCCGTGACTGTCGGTAGTCTTCCGCCGTAAACTGAAATAACGTGCGAGGTCCATGATGAAACAAACGAAAGAGACGGAATGAACTTCGTTAGTGATGCAATTAAACTGATGGGAAAGCTAGATAAAAGGCAGCTATCCCACACAAGATATATATTAAACGCCAGCTATCAGCGAAGCTGCCCTAGAACAGTGCTGTATCTGCCAAGCACGCGTCGGTCCGTCGTCGACAGTGGATCGTAGTAGTCTTACCACTGTATGTGGTGAGCCTTCGCCCCCGAAACATCGTGAATTTGGCCATAAAATTGTTGTTAGGAAGCTTAAACAAATCATCTGTACCGAGCGATCGGTTAGACTTGTGTGCCCGGGGAACTGCCAGGGTAGTAACCACACATTTCCAGACACAACACCAGTGAGGCGTAGACGACGGAAACCGCGGCATGAACCAACGGGCAGGCCTGAATAGACGCACATGCATGTCAGAACAAGCGGTACAATCCGAAGGGTATTCTTAAATCTGCACGACATGGAGGTCGCTTGCTGTTGGTAGGGAAGTGTCGTATGCCGTGAGCCGTGCAGATGTGCTGCATGGTCAGCGTTGAGCGGCACGACTTTGTGTATCTCGAATCTGTAAGGCGAACCACGTTGTCGGTGTGATCGGTGCAGGGGCAGTAAGTTGTGCCGATCTTCTAGGATGCTTGCCAACGATGACCGAACCAGCATTCGCTGCCAAGCTTTCAGATAAGCTCAGCGGACAGTCTGCGGTCTCGCAAGATGCTGCGGTCCAGGCTGAGCACACCTTTGTATTCGCCAAACGCTATCTGAATTCCGATCGTGCTTACTCTTGCCAAGGAATGCGTATCTTGCTTGCAGCAGCATGCCAATACCTGCGGTTGGCCTGCGAGTTCTTGAAATGGAAATTTGTGCCAGCGCAAGTGCTGAAACGAGCGAACAACGCTTGGCCAGAAGACTACATCCTCCCTGACAGAGATACATGTCTGTTTCCCCATGTGACTGCACGCGCTTACTCATGACGGGTGTTCCGGCGATTATGAACAAGCCGCATTTTGTAGAGGCCTGCATAGTTTCAGCACATCTGAATCACTTGGTGGATTCACCCCAGCGCACATGTACACGCAGCCCCGATGGACTGCTAGAAGAGGGTTGCCACCGAGCTGGCTAAATTGAGACAAAGACAAACATAAGTTGATAGTCGAAACGAAGGCCGCGCTAGAGATTGTCTGGTGCCTCTGATTGCTATCTTCTGGACGGCTCAACGTAGTCACTAGTGCCTTCCTCAAAGTCCTCGTCCGATGAGCTTTCGTCGTCATCTTCGTCGTCCTCAGCTGCCTGATAGTCGTCGTCGTCTAATTCATCATCCTCATCCGGATCAGGGTCAGCTGGGGGTGGACGCCTTGCCCGCAAAGTACGACCGGTCTGACTGGCTTCCACATTGGCTTTGTTGACCTTCGCTCGCACGCGGCCCTGTCTGCCTCTGCCTTCGAAGTCAAGTTCCCACTCGAGCTCAAGTGCCTGTTGCCTGGTGCCAGCGTTATCGATGATCCAATTATATGGTTGCTTTAGAACGATCTCGGTGCGAATGACGAAGGTTCCCCAGCCCCGAGCTTTGAACTCATAAGGCGGCTTTCGGAGGATGACGTGGTTTCGCCGAAACGTAGGGTGCTAGAAATTTGTCAGCGCTACAGTGATAGGTAAAGTGGTCGATGCGCAAGTGTCTCCAAGTCATGCGCCCGTTTGATCCTTCCCGAGATCCTGTCGAACTCCCCTTGGGCTTACTAGACGCTCTGTGCGGGGAGACCTTGGCATCGTGATATTGAATGCCGAGCCTTGTCTTGACTGGAACAGGACTCGGGAACGTACCAGATGGATGTGTACTTCCTTGATCAAGTCCGGTCTCGATGTACGCACAAAAAACGTCCAGTCGTGCTCATTGTCATCGCCGGGGTTCCTGATAAGCCTGTGCTTGTTGCCTATGAGGATCATGACACCCTCAAAACCATCACGCCCGATGCGCGATCCCCTGTCCTCTTCCTCCTCTACCCGTCTCTCGGCATATGTGACGGGATACTTGTGTTCCAACTGCCTCGCCAGCGCGTTATCCGGGGCCGCAGTGGTGCGAGTCCTGCACATGGGACAGTTTGCTTCAAGGTCATACGTGGGATCATAATTTGGGTCGAAATCTGCGAGGTTCACGTCCCAGCTTGAATGTTCGATGCGATTTGTATTGGAGGCGTCGGACCACTGTGCCATGCATGACGCACATAGCAGATGGTTGCACTGAGTTTTGACGGGCGTAAAGAGGAGTAGCTGGCAGATCTGTTATCTGTTAGCAGGGGCACGCGTGGTTGCGTGATATGCTTACAGGGCAGAGGTCATCGTGCGCGACCTCTTCCGCGTTTGACCGTGTTCCTGTTTCGGCCATGGTGATACTGCAACAGAGAGAAGAGGGAAGAAGAAATCAAGTGATTGTGCCGGAGGCGCAGTCTTTAGCTGCCATCCCTTGATGCGATTGCGGCATGGCTCGCGCGATGTTGTTAGAGGATGCGTTGCCGCCATTGGCTGTGACGTCCTCCAGGCATCAGTCCGCACGAGCCAAGGTGGGGCGGAGAGTGGTTCCACGTGATAGCGCGTCGGGACCTGCAGAGACATGCTCGCGCAGCGTGTGCTTCGTAGAAAACTTTCTGCATCAACTAGAATCACACCATGCTTCGTTACTCGGCTACTCTATCATGATGATACGTCGGTTCGAGCAGATCAAGATGAAGCGAGTCATCCCTCTCACACTATCTTCCCTCTGATACCCTCTCCGTCCAATGAGATGAACTTGCTGAGCATGAACCCAACACCAACCCTTTCGTACACTCTCGAGTCCTCGCTAGTCAGGCCTTGAATGGGCGTGACAAGTAACACGTAATATCTTTTCTCTCTGTCACTTCGACCCTCTTTACCCTTCGCCACGACAACACATTGCGCCCGCTGGCCATCAGATGCCGTCCGTCTCTCCGTGTCATAGACAATTTTAACTTCAAACTGTTGTCTGCCTGCCACGTCAAAACTACGGGCAACGGCTGTGATGGCTACCTCACTATCAGGCCGTGTAATCCGGGTAGTAGACGGGGAAACGCAGGTCCAAGGCGGCTGTAGTTCGTCATATTCCCAGTTCGCAGAATGAAAAGGCGGATCTATGAAATCTGTTCCGCCTTTGTAGGCCATCCAAGACCAGCTTGGGACTTTGACGTTCCGAGCAATCGGGAAATTGATTGGTGTTAGGTGCTCGGCGTCTCCTTCTTCGCCACGTTGTCAAAGAATACTGTGATGAAAGAGGCCGCCATCGTGCTTGTCGCCATCATCGAAAATGCCATAATTGCCCTTCGTTCCAAAAGCTTTTTGTAACTGTTTCTAAATCCTGGCTATGATTCTGAGCATCTCCTTTCAACTGACCATAGAAGTTGTTGAGCTCGTCATTTCCATACAAAAGCCATATTATGAACTCGAGGGTAATAGCACGCGCGCAACCTCGGCCTGCCATCTCAAATATAAGTTGAGCCCTCCATGATACTAAAGCCTATGATGTAATCCAGGAGAGAGACACATTCTCAGTTTCCACTCTCTTGAGTATGTTTTTCGTTCGACGCAAAGACAAAACAATGACGGTTTCTGTCATCAACACGCTTGCCGAGACAGCGCTATCTTCGCTTGTCGAGCAAGACCATGAAGTTGTGGATTTCGAAGATGCCCAGTCGATCTCTGGGCGAAACATAGATCCAGATATGTTGACGATGCTTCTGAGAGTCAAGTTCGGCGCTGGAGCCTACGATATCCATGTGAGTACATCGCGAACAACGTGAGAGGAGCGTCAAGAACCAGAATACAAGCTGACAGACATGATAGATAATGCAGAACTCATACTGTATCATCGCTCCGCGAAGATTGTCAAGCGTTAGTCAAGCATTAGCCTTCATGCATTTCGAAAGCTAACACAACATAGGGGGAAATAGCGAAATGTCGAAAAAGATAGATCGATCCTAGAAGCACTTTGTGTTCGTTCTTCGCTCATTTGAGCGTCCTTTGCATGCGACGTGATTAAAGACCGACGATACGACGAAACCGAAGCCGCTGTTGCGAACAGGGTGCAGCGCTATGATTGCGACACTCTGATTGAAGCAATGAGCGGAAGATACGTGAGGGGAAGGAGAACAGATGAATATACGCCTCCCGTTCACGCTAATGGTGTTTGCATATCGCATGGTGATGGAGTTTGGAGTGTGGACGTGATTTAGGATCTTGAGAATTTGGAATACAATTAGAACGCATCGGCGAAACCACGCAGATTTGAAATTTGTTGACTAAGCCGCTATGACCATGTGTATCCAGGATGCAATGACCATCGGTTCTCTTATACACACTCAGTACATCTTGCACGCTTGTCCTGTAGTCATTTGCGTTAAAAATGCCCAAAGAAGCATGTTACTATGAATCGTGAGCGCAGAGTGACATAAGACAGTGACGCACCATCTCCACATTGTCCAACGGTCAACCACGTTGGGGTTGTATAGTGATCAGCAACGCTACCTAAATATAATCTCCATTTCCTTTCATCTGAGCTGACATCGGACGAACACGGGGAAAGGCAGATGATGGCTGAGGCGCATGCATGCACCGCCCACTTTATACGGGAAGCCAGCTCAAGGAACCCGCCATCCTGAGATCTGCCGAGCGCTTCGGGTATCGGACTTCCAACGGCGACGCATGAAGACGATTCCAAGGCCTTGAAATCTCGCGTGCAGATCCATGGCAAACGATGCGCAAACAGGGCGAAACTGGTGAATGGTTTTAAAACTCGCACCAGTGCAAGCGCCGATCTCCCGCGCCAGTGTCTCACATAGCAACGTCGCGGCGCGTCGCCATTGGCCCACGCTCAATTACGCGGATGTGGCTATGCCGGTTTCAAGGCGCGAAGCTTGATACATCAGTCCCCTATCCACCTTCAGCTGCGCGCCACCAACACCACGCACCGCCAACCTACTTTTGCCCAGCGTTCCTTCTCACAACTTGCGTCCCTTACGTCGTTGAGCGATTGCGATAACGGATCCTCACGACTTTCACGTTCGTTTTGTGCATTGACCCCGGGAGCGCAGTCACCCCCGAACCTGGTTTCTTAACACGGCAAATCCCCCGCGGGAGCAGGGCAGCACACTCGTAGGATCCGCCATGTGGTTCCGCAAACGCGAAAACGACATCGAAATGTCGGGTATGATGGACGGCGCGCCTAAGAAAAAGAAGCCTCAAGGTCCCCCGGAAGAAACAGAATACCAGAAATTCGATTGGAAAAGATTCTTCCTCGCCCCCAAGTACATCCGTAAGAGCGCAAGCCGCCCCTATGACAACAGAGCTTTCATGTCTGACTCAGCATCCAGCATGGCACATACTGTTCATCGTCATTGGCATCTTGACTGTCATCATCACGATCAAACATGACGCCGTTGTTGAGGTAAGTTTACGCTGTCTTGCTTTGGTGTCGACGAACACGTGGCTAACGGTGTCTGTGCAGAAACTACGGCCGTGGTCCGAGAAAGTGCGAGACTTGCCAGCAGGATGGCTAATTCCTATTGCTATCCTGATTGTCATTTCTTTCCCTCCTTTGTTCGGTCATGAGATTATCGCGCTGTTGTGTGGTGTTGTCTATGGCCTATGGATTGGATTCGCGATTGTTGCAGCAGGCACATTCATCGGCGAAGGCAAGCCTCACCAAATCCACAATTCCATATGCATTCATACTAACATCCACCTCAGTTGGCACATGGTACGCCTTCAAATACGCCTTCCGCTCCAAGGCTCTGAAATTGGAGCGCACGAACTTGAATTATGGCGCTATGGCACGTCTAACACGTGACGGCGGTTTCTTCATCGTGCTTATCATTCGTCTCTCCGCCATCCCAGCGCATTTCTCCACCGCTGTTTTCTCAACCTGCGACGTCAAGTTCTGGCATTTCGTCGTCGCTACTTTCCTCTCTCTGCCCAAACAGATCTTCCTCGTTTACCTAGGTGTGTTGCTCCTACAAGAGAGCAACGACGACGTGATCAAGACGGTCATGTTCGGCGCTATTTTTATCATCACTATTGCCATGGGTGTCTGGATTTACATGAAGATGCGCACAGTGAAGAAGACACTTTTGGAGGAGCAAGAGTTACGAAGGGTAAAGAAGGCGGAGGCTGTGGAGCTGGTGCCGAATGTCGAACGGGCGTTTGATACGCGGTACGATGAGGAGCCTGTGGCATGGTCGACTATGCAACCAACTCAGGTCAGCAGGCCGATGGAGAGAAGATACGATGAGGAGCCTCCGGAGTGGGCTATGGCACCTACGCAGCCGACCAGGATGGTTTGAGTGTAGGTTTTGGTTTGGTGTTATTTAGACTACTATATTCTTAATGGCATAATGATGTTATGACCCGCATGGGACTGGTACCCACATGATACTCCAGGTCAGGCTTGAGCTAGCAGCCGCCTGAAGTATAAATAGCACCTCCGATAACTAACCCCACTCTAAGTAGTGTATCGAAACCACGGCACATTATCGGCAAGCTCTCGCTCCAGCAACTTCTGCTCTTCGGTCAACTCCTGAGTCCCGCCTTCGAGCGCAATCTTGTCGCGTCTCGCGTTCTCCAATCGACACCATGTTGACATGAAAAATGTCAGGAAAAAAGCCATACTACAATGCGTCAGCACACCAACTTTAGATCGATCCAGTCGTGTCGATGACTTGCCTGACAAATCCGATCAGAATACTGTGTCCAATAATAAACCTTGGTCCATCACGCGACAGGTAGACATAACTCGCTATGATACCTCCACAGTTACCTCCCATTACCTGCATGGCAATGCCTGTCCCACGCTTCAAACTACCTCCAATATTTCCGCTGTTCCACGCCATACCCAGTGGAATCTGGGGATAGATCCCAATAGCCGCAAGCACCGTTCCGGCATATTGGACACTGGGCTTGCCAGTTGCGGCAAGCATGGCGAAGCCTGCGATAGCCACAAGTTGGAACCCCATTAAGAAGATGCCACGTTTCTTCACGCGATCAGCGTACCAGCTCGCGACAATGGTGAAGAAACATGCGCAGACATAAGGCGGGACGGACATGAGCTGTGCGTCGTTGGCAGTATAACCCATGTTTTTGATGATCGTGGGGAGGAAGAGGGCGAAGGAATAGATGGGACAAAATCCCGCCATGCATATAAGCATGAAGATGTAAATTTTCCAGTCGGAAAGGGCCTGGTAGACATACTTCATATCAAAGTCATTGGAAAGATGACCGTGATCTTGTTGTAGGCGGCGTTCGACCTCTGTGCGCTCTTTCGGAGTGAGGAAGCGGGCCGTTGCCGGGTAGTCGTATATGCACCAGTATGCTGTCATTGACACGAGAATGCTGAGCAGGCCCTCCAAGATGAATATCCAAGCCCAAGCCGCTTTGCCCCCAACGCCAGACATTTCTGCGATACCGCGGGCTAGCACTCCACCGAAGGCTCCGGCGAGCGTTGCGGCTGAGAAGAAGAGAGCCATGCGAAAGCCACACTCGCCTCGGACATACCACTGCGAAATATAGTAGTTCACGCCTGGAAACAGCCCACCCTCAAATACTCCCAGAAAGACTCGGGTAGCCATCAATCCGGAATAATTCTTCACAAAGCCCTGACAGATCATTGCCAGTGACCAGAAGAACATGATGAACGTCAACCAAATCGATGGTCGTGTACGCTTCATCATGATATTCGACGGTATCTCAGCAGCAATATAGAACGGGAATAGGACAGCGAGACAGTCATTGTACTGTAGGCCGTGCAGCTTCAAATCCTGTTCGAGATGGTCGAGTCGAGCGTTGCCAATGTTGGTGCGGTCTAGGAAGCACAGACTGCAACTCTGTCAGTGATGGATCTCCTGTAGATGATGGAATGGGAACCTGACAGGTAGATGAGCGACATGAACGGTATGAGATGCCAGTCGAGTTTACGAAGAAGCTTCTTTGTAGCGACAGCATCATAACCCTGCGGCTCGACGTCTTCAATCGAGACGTCGGATGAGATGGGAGCGACAGTAGTATGATCGACTTTTTTCTCTGCCATTGTAGATTGTATACCGATGCCCTGAACCGGAAGGGATAAATGCTTTACACGATCATCTGTTATATACGTGTACTTTGCGCATTTCATGCTGACAACTACTTCGCAGAAATAGTAAGAAAGCCTTCTACCATATCTGTGCAGTCCCGAGGTTCCAGACTGCCACGCTCAGCCATTATGCATCGGGGCTGTCTTACAAAAGTCATGCGTCTTTCTGCTTTCGTGCCCATGTTCCGAGACTGATAGCATGGTGTAACACTAACAGAGATTCCAGTGGTTGCGGAGCATGCATTAGCCGGTAAGATAAAGGTAGTCAGGACTTGGCTACAGCAGCCAAGGGCCGTGCCGTAGACTTGTCCTCCGGAAGCTTGTGAGTGGTAGAGGAGGTCGAAGCTTGAATGGCTATGCGGGGAAGCTTATGTATGCGGGCTGACATGCATGCAGAACCTTGGCGCTGATAATCAAAACGAGTTGCCTAGTTGTAGTATTCCAAGGCGATATCTGAGGCGACGCAAACTTAATCTCCAGCGGTAGATTGATAGCCTCACGATGTGGCGTTGCTTGTCTAAGGCTTGCCATATCTGGAGGCTGTTTTCCCGTCCTTCCACTGGCTGAATGAATCTGTAGACACGGCGATCAAGCCTTGTCCAGAACACCTGGCTGCAGGTCTAGCTTGTGGTGCTGGGGTTGTCAAGTATTTTCTTTTTCGCTTTCGCGTAGCGCCATTCCACACCTGCTCAGCCTCGCGAGGCACTCAATGCAATGCGGAGATGAGACCTTCTTCTCCCACAATCGTGGGCAGATCGCGGAGTCTTTTGGTTCGTCTAGAAGTTGCCTTTCTCCCTCACTAGGTAGAAACAGGTGGAGACGGCAAGGCAGAAGCAACGTCTCCGATAGCGGCGGATGGCATTGATAAGCATAATGAAAGAGGATGCACATGATGCACAGTTGAACACTTCTCAGGTAGTCGGGGATGGTCTCTTAAAACTCGATGGAGACAATGTACCCTGAAGTGAGGGTGAGATCTGTGCGATAATGACACAGGAATGTTTCGGCGGAAACCGATCACTTCAAGCATGGTGATTGCCATGACCTCTCGAGCATTCAGCTTTCATGTACCTTTGTTGCGACTGGAAGTGTGATCTCAAGATCTTCAAGCACTCATTCGCATTGACTCAGAAGGGTCTCGATGTTTGCCTTCCTCGTTCATTCATCAAAGCTAACGCAGCCCTGGAATATAAGGGTGCCGAAATCTGGAAATACCAGGCGTCCAATTGGCCACGGAGTAAAATGCCATTCACGTTCCAGTAGAGCCGGGCGCAATCGATAGTTCCAAACAATCGCACGTCGTACGTTGCGCAAACACTACGCATCTTTACCCTAGTAGTGTGCGTTTGCTGCTGAGAACGTTGGCAAACCTTCATGACAAGGCGCTCCGTTCATGAAATATCAGGAGCACACCCGTGGAACGATGCTCGTAATCAGCAGGCATGCCCTATAATCCATTTCCCGTATGAGCAAATGAAATCGATTTCTAGTTTTGTTGACTGGTACAGTGGGCGAAAATCCAGGGTTTTAGTGGATGGTGATGTATTGAAGAGATGTCTGCGACCAGTGCGTCAAATTTGTAGCGTAGCGACTGCCTATGGCATTTGCGATAGTTATATAAGCGCTTTGTGGTACAACTCGTTCGCTTTTAATTTAAGACCATACCATACACTTTGATGATGTTGGGAGATGACAAGGATCCCAAGCAGTGGCAGAGCAAGGCTCGTAAAAAGTAGCTAATACCTCGGCCGTCGTCGACGCACTGGGTAATAATCTTCAAAATCACTCTCGTCTTCCCCTCCTTCTTCATAATCTTCATCATCCTCGTCATCGTACTCCTCGTAGCGATCGTTGTAATTATGCATCCAGTTTGGCCTAGGTCGAGCTTCGTATGGTGACCGCCCAAGCTGTCTAATGCCTACACTCCTCCATCTTGGGTGGTTATATATTGTGGAGGAGTCGTAGCCGCTCTCATTATCCTCATCGTCGCCAAAGAAGCTTGTCGAGGAGGGAGCACGACGGGCTTGAGGCCATGATGGCTGGTCGTTCTGTCGATGGCGGCTGGTAAATACTGGGTGTAATTGGGGTGATTGGCCGAGACCGAATGGCGAAGACTGACCATAGCCCATCTGCAAATCTCCTAAGAAAGGAGGCTGACTTGAACACCCTGTGCTTCTGCGTCTGCCTCCACTCACTCTCGTGCCCAGTCTCATGCCTGACCCCATGCCAAAGCCCATTCTAAAGCCCATAACACCCGTGCCGCCTAACCTACTACCACCCATGTTCACACCCAGAGGTGATGGGACACCGAACTGCGGGTGGCTTCCCATCATGGGACTCGGTCTGACATGATCCAAAAAGGGTGGTTGAGACCTTCCTATGCCCCCAGGCGACGAATACTGGTTAAGCAGCCTGTACATGTATGCTTGTCTTTGGAGTTCGATAAACATTCTCCTTTGATCCCTAGTGTCTCGTCCAAAACCGTCGCTATCGCCACCACAGGATTCGTCGTAGCATCGGTTCGGACGGAAACCGCAAGTAGGGAAGCTCATCAAACGCGCCATCGCAAACTCAGGTCCCGTTGGTCACAAAGTAGGGAGACAATCTTGAGCGATGAATAGAATTGGTGTGAGCAGCCGAGGTATAGTAATATGGTGTAAATTATTTGGTGCCCTTTGCGCTACTGAGAGGGCAAAAGAAACTCCAAGACATGGAGGTGCTGCGTGGTCGACTTTGTACCAAAGCGAACATGCCGCTAGATGGGGGAAAGTGTCCAAGATGTTTACGGGTTGATGATCTACGAATGGTTGGACGCACCTAAGTCGATGCAGATACCGGAGGCGTAGGCGGGGCCAGCATGATAGCCATCGCTGGCAAGGCGATTCTCCGGTCGTAGTAAGCCTGTATGACACAAGGCAAGCAGTGACTGGCATCATGGTATCACTGTGATACACTAATGAGATGAAGCAAACACTTCGTTTTGGAGGAAAGGGCAAACCACACTACTGCAGCCATGTACTCCTACTGGATAAAATCTACCAGCAGAACGAGGTGGATGAAAGCATGTGCAGGGTTCATATACGGATGAACAGACTAGTAGGAAGATGCTGATAGGATAAGGATACCGACCAAAGGGTCCAGGGCAATCATGATACCAGACAAACCTTGACAGGACGGCAGCAGATACCGAGAGCATAAGTCGTTAAGGCTCGTTATATGGGTCGAGTTGGGCTGTGCTCGAAAGAAAGCTGCGACGGATGCTCGGCGATGCGACACAGCGTAGATGACACATCGCACCTTCCCCTTCTTCACAAGGGGACACGGGTCGAGTCGTGCCTTCCGGGTGGTACAGTGGAGAGACTTGGAGATTTGAGGATGAACGACGGCATTCTGGGAGTGGCTGCGAGGAGGCGATAGCAGAACAAGACGTCATTACTTAATTTGCACCTGAAATCGGCAGGCGCGACGCGTTGACGCAGGACGCGTCGTTTCCAATTGGTGTGGCGGGACGTTGAAGAAAAAGTCCCCATAATACGATCAAGTCACGTGCATCCATCTCGGCTCCAGCCAACCTCAAATGTTCGGCCATGGTTGAAGCTCTTCTTCTGTCGCCGCAATACGACTACATCTCCCACCGAAGTGTCCCACGACGAACTGTGCCATCATCTCCCCGATCTGCCTAGCACGAAATCGCTGCAAGCCTGACATCATCTCGACTGCACCTGCCTCCACCACTCGCCTGCCACAATCCCCACACTAAATCTTTTGGCCTCGACACCACGCTTTCGTCTCGTAGCCACTTCCGCATCCGCATCTACACCACCACACAATGGCTCCTACTTCTTTTGCTTCGGCAGCTGCAGGAAACAATGCCAATCCAGCGCGTCCAGACTCCGGCGCTGACTGGTAAGTCTTGCCTTGCCTGCGCCCCATGTACCCACCACTATCGAGCTACATGCGGCACATTGTTATCCCTTGTCGCTAGACACAGCACTTGATTTTATTGTCCTATTTATCACAACGCTCGCTACCGCCATGATTCTCTTCCTGCCCGACGCTTACCCGGAAAACAGGGCTCGACGTACCAACGGTGCCACGCAAACATTCCGCCGACCCTCACACGCGACCAGCCTCTCCGGCTCGACAAACCACTCATCTACACGAGACCCTGCCGCGCCACAGAACCCGTCGACGAACTCGGGCGTATATGTCCCTCCCCACGCACAGCCTGGTCGCAATGGCAGCTCATTCGAGGGCCGCTACTCGCGGGACCAACTGACGCAGCTGTTCCGGATACAACAAGCGTCAAGCGACCTCAACGACGGACTGTCCGATTTGTACATGGGAGGATGGGAGCCCCACGCTACAAATGGTGCTTCGAGCGCTTCTTGGGGTCGCAAGGACGATCATGGCAGAGAGAGGGAGGCGCCGAGCGGGGTCGACCAGTGCTGGGATAGAGACGGTAGCATATTGCCACTCAGCCTGGCCGGCATGACTGACGAGGAGAAAGAGGTAGGAACTCACACCCCACCACACCTTCCTAACATACACTAACGCGCGCTTCTTCGCTTAGGTCTTCCACTCGTCTGTCAATTCGCCGCTGAAACCACCCACGCAGAACAAGGACGGCACTCCCAAAGAAGGCCTTTCGCTACGCAAGACATCCGTATCGCAGGGTCCAGGCACACCATATGGTCTTTCCTCGCCCACAACCGCGCGTCCAGGTGCCCGCCGTCGCGACACCAGCGAAGCGTATCCGTTCCCCTCGTCCCCCGCCACCTCACGATTCGCGCGCGAAGAAGGCAGCGCTGTCACTCCGCCACCCGCTCTAGTACGCCGTCGGACAGATTACAAGGAGCCTGTAGAGGGTCGCACTGCGGAGGAGCGCGAAAAAGACAAGGGTACGGTTGAAAGTGCTGGTGGCTTTGGCTCTGCAAAGCGCGCAACCACAGCACCTTTCAGCCCAGGTGGTAGTGCTTCGCCGTGGTCCGCGACTCCTGGTGGTGGTTTTGGCGCTTTCGGAAGCTTTGCAGCGCCGCAGTCAGAAAAGAAACCTGGCTACGGAAGTCTACGTGGCGAGAGTCGATTCAAAGGGTTGATGGGCAAGCCGAGCATTGAAGACTTTGGGAACGGGCCGAAAGAGAAAGCTTCAATGAGTAACTTGGGCAGGCTAAGCGAGGCAGAGCCCTCAAAGACAGGCAGTTCGTGGATGGAAACTCGCACCAACAGACCAATGAGTAACGATACAGATCCGTTCCCCGAAGACGACCATCCAACTGGCAGTGCTGCGTTGCGCGGCGAAGACGTTAGCCCGCCCCGGCCACAAGGCTTCGGCAATTTCGCAACGCCCCACCGCCCCGACCACCGCGACGATTCTGGATTATCCGCATTTGGGATGACTACTGCCGACACTGGACTTCGCGACATGTATAACAGGAACAACTTTACGGATCAGTCACCCCATCGGGGTAACGAGCCAATGAGCCCGACGGACACGAATCCGTACCAAAGCCCACACCACGCACGAGACCAGCATAATGACGATTCGGACGATTCCGGCGACCAGAATGCACACTTCCCTGGCATGAGCAGCTTCCATATCGACCAGTCTGTTCACTCGAGCATCCATAACGCGTTCGGTGGGCTTGGGGGTCTCGGAAAGGTGTCTGCGCCATTCGAAACTGCAGCAAGTGACCGCAGCCAGACTTCTAGCGTTGGACCAGCCCGAGGATTCCCTACCCTACCTGGGCTTGGCGGCCTTCCTGGTCTAGGAGGTTCTGCAGCGTGGCCTTCTGGGAACCACACCATGGGCACTCCGACTCGTGAACGCGGTGGTCTGGGGGGCTTTGACCATGCCTTCGGAAACGTTGGCGAGGCTCAGTCGCCTTCTCTGGCTGGCCTAGGCAATAGTTCGCTATTTGGACACGGTACTGTAGGCCGCTCTAGCAGGCTTGGCTCTCTGTTCCCGCCTTCCATGCAAGAACAAATGCGATCCAATGATCCGAACAGGGTGCATGCCGACGACAACTCCTCACATGGTGACCGGCAACACAGCATGACCGGCTCGTTTGCAAGGAATGCCTTTGGGGGGCAGGCGCCAGCCCGTGATACAGAAAGCCCGTTCCGCGCAAACCGTAATCTTTTTGAAGACTTCTCCAATGCTCACCATGACGACCACGGTTCGGCGGGACAGTCTCAGAACATGGCTACCACTTCACTCTCAATGGCTGCTCTTAACCCGACAAGGACTGCACAGCCATCCACGCCAGGTGTTGGAAGTCCAGCCTCCAGTCAGCCTCCGGTGCCTCAGCAGCGAATGATGGTTATGCCTGACAGGATGAGATGGATCTACCGTGACCCCTCAGGTAATGTTCAAGGACCTTTCTCTGGTCTGGAGATGCACGATTGGTACAAAGCTGGCTTCTTCTCGCCTGAGCTGCTGGTGAAGAAGGCTGAAGAGCCTGATTACGAACCCCTCGCCCAGCTCATCCGCCGTATTGGTAACTCTCGTGAGCCCTTTTTGGTCCCTCAGATCGGCATCCCGCATGGCCCTGCGACGTCTCAGCCAGGTAATTCCTGGGCAGGTGCTGGTCCTAGCACTGCCACTGCTCCAGGTGCTCAACCCCCATTCGCCAACAGCTTTCCCAGCTTTGGAACAACCCTTACTGCCGAACAACAGAATGCTCTCGAGCGTAGAAAGCAAGAGGAGCAATACCTCATGGCTCGCCAGAAAGAGCACTTAGCTCAGCAGCAACAAGCGCTCGCCCGCCAAGTCCAAATGGGAGTGCTGCCAAACCAGCTCAACCACCACTCCAGCGCGCACAGTCTGCACAGTCAACCAAGTTTCGGCAGTATCACATCGCCAGGCGGATATCAGCCATCGCCTACTCAAGGTGCCGCGGCCGGAGCGTCTGTTCCGGGACTCATGGACAACACCTTCAGAGTTGGTCCCGGTCCTGTTCCAGGCTTGGGTCCGATTGGTCCCGGCATGGATATGCTGAGCAACAGGAGAGACCAGGAGATGCCTGCTATGATGGACCGTCTGAATCTGGGACGTAACAACCAGCCTCCATTCGCTTTTGGACAACAGCAAGATTCCGATGCTCACGCACAATACATGGCCTCCGTGATTGGCGACCGCGCTCGTCTCAAGCGCGAGCAGGCTGAGCATGACGCCACGATTCGCCCTGGTGGCCCTGAAGACATGCAAAACGCGCGGAACTTCGCTGAGCGTTTTGCGGAATTCCAAGACTTGCGAGTCCAGACAGACATGGAGCAATCGTCCAATGCCGCCCCTCCACCAGAAGGCGTCATAGGAAAGCCGCCTACTTCAAATGCTCAGCCATCGCAGGAACAATCTGAGCCTGCTTCCCCCGAGGAACACGAAGGACAGGATCATCAGTCAGAGCATCAGAACGAAGGACCATCTGCTGGTCAGGAGACGCTGTCCCTCACTGAACAAGTTCAGAAGGCTGCTTCTGCTAAGCACTCCCCTCAACCAGCAGCTGCATGGAACAAGGTCGAGCCTGCGATCTTCCCGTTCCCACCTCCGCCATCCCAGTCT